GGGAATGTGGTCTTTTCCGTCACTATCCTCCTCAGAAGATGAGTCCTCCAGGGTAGCCAGGAATTTGTCCGCCCGGGTGGAAAGGGATTTCTTGGACCTCAAGTCCTGAAGAACTTGCGCTGGTTTAGGGTCTTCTCGAAGAAGCTTCGCACCGCCATTAATGGAAGGTGTCGCATGACGGCGTCGGTCGAGTGGCTCGTTGCGGAGACGAAGCGCCTGTAACTCCTGACGCATGGCCTCCAGTTGAAATGTTTTCTCCAGGGCCTCGTTCTCCTCTTTTGCCTGAGTTAGTAGCTTTTGCAGCTCCATAAACTCCTCTCCCGGATCCGATGTCAGAGGGGCCGGCGCTGCGTCTCTGTTGCTGCTCAATCCGTCTTCGTTAGGGTCCGGAGAGGCTTTGAGCGGAGAAATATCGTAAACTGGAAACTGTAATTGCTTTCCGCTATTCAATAAAGCGTAGTCTAGTTGATTGCGTGGACGAAGAGAATATGTGGATTGAGACATCAGGAAACAATGAAAAGATTCGACTTTGCAAACTATCACGATCTGCTAATAAACTGACAAATTCTGTCGTGACGTTACTATATATACTGGCGTACAAATCAATCAACAGCTACTCTAATGCGATAACCTAAATACAGCGCGCGTCGAATTAAATATTTTAAGCGAAGCTCAAAATAAACCAAGGGAAATGTTGTATTCAAGAAGTTCATAGCACACTTTCGCAGAATAAAATTGCTTTTCCTTTTGAAAATTTACCACTGTGAAATCTAAAATCGTTTTTAGTGTTTAAACTGGCGGAAAAGGGTCGACTTTGCGCCAGAGTTTCAAGTGCTGTCTAAGTTCTCGCTTGGATTCATCAACACAACTGCAAGTTCAGAGGTCGTAAATCACGCGAGTACCGTAAATGTTTTCAGTTGTAAAAACTCGCAGTTTCAATTGCCCCAGAATTTTATTTCACAGATTGATAGGAGAAGCATTGCTCTTTCTCTGGAATACCATTTTTCGAATGAAAGCCATGTACCAAGAAGGGATTTTCGCTGTTGAAAAATGGCAAAATTGATGGAGGCGATAATGCTGATTTAGAGGGTAATTTTGAAAAAATATTAAAAAATCAGATTGAAATCTTTTGAAATTGTAACAACGTTTAGGTAGAAAGGAAGGATCATAAAATTGTTAAATATAAGAAAAGTTATGGTATTAGTGTCCGTTTCCATTCACGAAGCGAGGGTATCAAGCACATTTTTCGGTGGTTTCAAGGCCTCTCGAAGGTGAAAATTAAAAAAATTATTATTTTGGAAAATATTAAGTCAAACGAACTGAGTCTTGTATTTTCTAAAATAGTTTCCAAAGGGCTTTGCTGTGATAAAGTTTGGGGGATTTCGATTTTTCCATCTTGCACACCTATCCGTGGTATTTACAGAAAGTCGCTCTTAAGGTGGCTCGACTGGATTTTTTGGGGTTGATACCTCCCCAGTTTGAGCGTTAACTACGTCCGCATGAGTAAAGATATGGAAAAAAGGTTACCACAGCTGTATTATATAAAGATGAAAATTTCTTATGATCTGGGTTTTATTGCAATCGGAGTCGCCATGGCAACGTAATGACGCCATTACGTTTTTCAGTTATCTTTGTGTTTCTGTGTACCAGGAGTTTTTTGAAGAAATCGCTTAAGGGAGTATGTACCTGCCATAATTGCCTCCATTATGGCAAAGTTTGAACAAATTCTATGAGAGCGTTTTCGAAATATTTTGAAATGCAGTCTTAAGAATCATAAAAACAGTGAAATAGCATGCTAGCCACACAATTCGCTGATATTTTAAGAAAATGATACGCTTTGGGAACGCGGCTTCATCTCATAGTGGTTTGATTCCATTGAAAACTGCATACAAAAAAAGAGGGGAATTGCTCTGGGCGATCGCGAGAAAGAAGACTTTTATTAACTTGCATTCAACTGTTTTTGATACAGTTTTTGGACGTAATTTGGTCCATGCCTGAAAATTTCGCATTTTTCCAAAACCCGCTTGATAATTTTTTTTATAAATTCGACAATCCCGAGATCAATCGTCAAGAAATATTCCCTGCAAGTTTCAAGAACATTGAAAACGGGGAAGGCTTTTAAATAGGGCCTCAAATATAGCCAATTTTTCCTCCAGATTTTGTGTTCACAAGTGAGCGTCCTCATTATTCACTGGCATTGTTTTCAAGTTTCATATACACGTGCACATTTAGCAAAGAGATAGAATTTGCATCAAAAAGGACCCTCGGTTAAATCTCCGGGATATGCTAATTACCGGGTAAAGAGCTTAGTGATACATCATAACATCAGAGTAACTCTTTGTGAGAGTTTCTGTGATGTTATAACCCGAGTAAGGTAATTAAGTATTGCATCTTACACGATGAGCCGTGACGTTCACCGTTTCGGCTCTCACTGCTATCTGTGACGACAAGCCAATTATTTGCATATTCCGGATATTTCTTCGGAAAGTAATCGAGAATT